GAAGGTATGTGACAAGTTATCTGTGAAGTGACAGAAATGGGTAAAAAAATAAGAAGAAAAAAAAAGAAAAAAAAGGAAAGGATACAAAGAGAGGAATAGAGAAATGCCCCTTGCAGAAACATTTCAGATGGCTGCCCCTAAGCCTAATCTGGACTTGTAAAATCTGCAGAAAGATGCTGCAACTGTAAGATGAAAGCTGGAGAAAACTGTGTAGATGAAGTGTTGCCCACATTATTACAGAGCTGAGAGGTCCAAGCCCACTGCTCTCCAGGTAGGAGACCTCAGCAAGGACAACCCTCCTGGGTCCACTTGGCTCATGGTCCTGTCTCTGAGAATGACAAGTTGCAGATTCCTCTGGAAAAGAAGCAACACATAAATAGGAAAGAATGGCAATAGTGATCACTGAAATACCTTGTGGAGATGCTGAGACATTTTGGGACAGGGAGGGTTGGCTAAGAACTCACAGCTAAGCCAAACTGCTGATGAATACCTTTTGCCACCTTTGGTTTCTCATAAGAAAGGTTGCAGCTTGAATAGAAAGTCAATAGCTCTTTCCCCCTTCACCAGATCATCTCAGAGGAAACTGCTACCCTGTAATTCCCTGAAGAATTGCCCAGGAAAATCAAAAAATGCTAAACTTAGCAAAGATAATGTTTCTGAAAGGTAATAAAGGGAGAAAAAAAAAAACAATCTGAGGAGTAAGCCAGAGTTTTTCACATGCACTGTAAAGAAAAAGGACAGAGATACACATTTCCTATCATTGTAGGTCACTCTTCAGTGCTTCATCTTGATATGAATAGATCCCTCAACAGTTAACTCAGCCAAGGGAGATTTCAGATCAATCCTCCTTACTCCAGCCATGCCTTCTTCTAAATCAATAATGGCTGATGAATACCTCTGCCAAGCTCATAACACAGACACAATGGAAATCCTCCTCTTTTAGAAAGTGCCTTTGCAAGCCCTTTGGATAAGGGGTGCTTTACTGCTTCTCCTCTAAATCTCAGCAGTGAAGCTGAATTCCTGATGATGCTCCCATTCTGCAGAGGCAGCACTGCACTGTAACCTGCACCTTTCTGCTCCTGGAGGATTTAGCAAGAGCTGTTTGAATTCATTTGGAAATGAATTCAAACACACGACCCATACAGCTTTCATCTTTAATAAAGTCTGGGTTTTTTTTATTTAGACTCTGCTTTCACAGCAGAAGCAACCTTGTTTTTCAAAATATCATTAAAAGTGCAAAGTTCTGTAAGCAGTGTGAGCTGTCTGAATTAGGAGTTAGGGTTTCCTTGCCTATAAAACTGGGAAAAATTAAAAAGCTGGAAAGACCGGGTGGATCTTGCAGTTTACATTCGTACATCAAAACCCTTAATTGCACTGAAGCACTGAAAAAAGAATCACTTTTGTTAACTTGAAAGCTAGGATGCACATTTTTGAGAATTCAATCCTTTTTGATGTAGATATTCCCAGTAAAAACTATGCCTGATTATAATCTACAGTAGCAATGTCCATAATTAAAATACTTTCTCTTTCAAAAATCCCCAGTAATAATAATAATATCTCTTTTCAACAGTACATGAATCTAAAATAACAAAATAAAACTGACATTACAAACATATACCACTCCAGCATTTGCAAACAGACTTGGCAGTTCTAAATACAGATTTATGTCTGGAAGGATGCATTCTCCTTGAAGCTGTTTGTGCAACCTACTTATCAGAAGAAAGAGATTTCCTGGAGATTTCCTTTAATTAGTTGGAACAACCTATCAGTAAAATAAGCAACTAAAACTATAAGCATATAAGCTGGCATAGTTTATTAAAAAACAATAATTAAAAATATATCCTAAAATTCAAGAAGGGAGTGGCCAAGTTCAGTAATAGCTATTTCTGTGTGCACAACACCATTTATAAGAGTCTAGGAAGGAAAAAGATAATGAGAGGACAAAAAACCCATGATCCATGCTAATGTGGTTTACGTCCCTCCCTTTTCCAGTTTCTGAAAGTCTCCACTTATTCCTGTGGCATTTAGGAGTCATCATCCCTGCCAGTGATGTATTTGCACTAAGTCATCAAGGCAATGAGATGTCATTTCCAAAAATTCTGAATCAGATGAACTTTAAAGTTTGCAATGTAGCTATTTTACTGTGCCTGTTTGCTGGAGTAGCCATGGCCCAGGGTGATTTGAATAGGTGAGGTGAGCTTCCAGGGGATTACAGGAGGCAGGAGATGTGTTCCTTCTATTACCCATAATAGGAATTGTGTGACTCATTCCTCTCACACCAGGCTAAAATGTACCCCTGCGGTTCTCTACTATGTATATTGACTTGAATGAAGCTTTGTGTAATAAGATTTAAATTGTAATGAGTCATTATGTCAACCTTTTTTGCTGCTATTTTACATAGTGAGTCTGCACAGAGTGCAGTGTGCTACTGGAGAAAATCCTAGCAAGGGTGGTTAGTTGAGAGTGGGTAGCTTTAAAAAAAACTACAAGGAAAACCTCTTACAAAATCTTAGCATGATCATAGTTTCAAAAGGATGATTTGTGTGTATAAGTGTCCTTATTACGCCATTATCATCAATCCAAGATTCACTCCTTAATCCATTAGATTTAGTTATATGTCCTCATTTGCTTTTAGTGGGACGAGACAGTCTTGTTTATATGGTCTTGAGGTGAAGGATATCAAAGTATTATTTTTCAAGATTGTTTAAGCATTCAGCCATGCCCACTCACACAAAAAGCTGTTTTCTAATAATCCTTTTATCAGCCTGAAGCTGAAACAACTTTCTTTCTTGCAAGAATCTGTTATTGAGAGTTTCTTATTAGTAACTAGATGCTGACATGATTTCACTGAAAAATAAGCACAGTCCCGAAGAGCTTGTGATTTATTTTTTTTAATTGCATAACATGTAGAGTATAAACACAAACTGCTTTGCTCAGAACTGTACCTCTTTAATTGCTTAAATTAAAAGGATTTCTAGCTCAGCAGTTTCTCTCATTTTTCAGTACACATTGGTGGCATGTTACCAAAGTACCTCTGAAGACACTAAAGCTGGCTGGGGCTGAAAGGGGTGTGGAAATATTATTTTTGTGTTCACTGTAAAAGGTGCTCAAAACCACCAACAAACCCATTGTTTTACTGTAGCAAAGCAGTGATTATTTTGTGCAAAATCAGCTGTAAAAAAATATCTTTTTTTTCTTACAATGAAGTAAAGAAATAACTTTGTCTTGAGATATCATTTTGTGTCCAGTGACTCTAATAGGTAAATTTCGTTAATCTCCACCAAAAAGTAAACAGATTCTATGCCTAGAATGTGGCTCTTTCTTGTCAACTTTTTAAAGACAGAGGTTAACAAAACTCCTCATGAGACAAATACACAATCTCCAAACAGTTTTCTCTACACGATTCTGCATCAATCAGCAGAGGACTATTCTCTGGTCAGTCTCTAAATTCTGGTACTCCCTGTTTAAACCCCAAGAAGTATGAAAACACTTCTCTTCTGCTCTCTTCTCACCTGAGAATTTAATATAAGAGTTAAATGACTTAATACTATAAGAGAGTAAGTTGGGAAAGCATGAGAAGGACCAATGGATTGACAATGAAATAGGAAAGAGCTGAAGCTCAAAGCTTCTTGTATCACAGTAACTCCTGTGGCTCTTGTATTAGAACTCGTGCTTCTCTTAAAAACCTAATTGTTTACAAGGCAGGCACCAGAGGCTGTAATTGAAAGCCACAGAACTGGCAAATCTCAGTCTCTAATAACTGGGGTCCTTTTCCCTTTTCTCCCCTAATACATATTGCCGTGAGATGGTGTCAATAACCAAAAGACCACAGCGTTGGCTTTTTATTTTCCCAGCTCATCCTTGGATGTACCTTTTCTCATCCTCCCAGAAAACTGTTACATATTTCAGGATTGGTTTGCTTGTCTTTTTTTTTTTTTTACTGGCAGCGATTCCTGCTCTCGTTAGTACACGAAAGTCTAATTGTGCTGGGCAGCTCTGTCTTGGCAAGCAACTCTGAAATTATACGTGAAATGGGACAGGAATCTTGGAAAAGCCTGGCACTGGATATCATTACTTCTACTTTGGTAGGGAAGTTTTTCTCAGGTGAATTATGTGCTCTGAAAAGACTCTGTATTTTTTTAAGCCTTTTGCATTGTGATATCAATTAAGGTACATAAAAAATATTCTTACAACTAACTAGAAATCATGAGAAAATCCATGTGAAATTTAGAGACAAATTAAGATAGTAGAGAACCAAACAACTGATGTATACTCAGTCCAGTGACTCAATATCCAGCTTGTTACATCTTTTTATTTTTATATCAGTATCTTAATTCAGGACCAGGCAAGAAATATATCCATATGTTTTACTTCTTTTGTAGAATTAGCTTAAAGGAAAAGAAAAAAATCACCAAAATATAGTATTGCAGACTCGCCATTTTTTTTCCTGAGAAGGTCATAAATTATTTAAAGTTTCTTCATCTTCAGAATGCCCAGATGAATGGTCTGAGATATTCAAAGGCTAGAAGCTAAAAGATTATACAGGTGATTCAATAATTCTTGCCAACAACTAAAATAAAAATCACGACTTTTTTTTATATTTCAAACATGAGGAATTAATTTTTCTCTCTTAATTTTCCTCTGTATGAACAAATCATTTAAGATACATCAGTATTAAATGAAAGGAGACAGCCATAGCTGAAATGTAAAGGTATGTCATCAGTCCATTTTTAGTTTCCTTGGAAATACTTTTTTGCTTTTTCCACTTGGTTCTTTATACTTGAGAAAGCAATATTCCTCATGTGAACCCTGGTAATTAAGTCTGGTATTCATATTTTTTTTCTATTGCTACTTTTCTTGGTGCTTATTTAAGAACTTTGTTTGCAAAGTTGAATACCCAAGGTTCCTTTTCAACACTTGTATTGATATTTTTTTTGTCGTTTGACAAACAGACAGCAACCTGAACTCAACATGGAGAAAAATAACAAGCAGGTAGTGTTCTTCTAATAACTACTATGAGCAAGCCAAGATCCAGCTGTACCCAAATAGAAAAGGAGAGGCCTTTATTTCTTAAGTATCAATGACATCATCAATAGGTGAGTGTGTGGTGATTCTCCCTTTGAACCTAAAAATTAAGAAATAAATTCAAATGGAAGCTCTACAGTTTTTTCAGCAAGTATGAGTTACTTGAATTCAGGTCTCTGTCCACAAGTGGGCCACAAACATGTTAATCCAGCGGGGTATGGAAAATTAATCTTGATTATGAACTAATATTGTCATTATAGTCCAGATAGTAGAGACACAGATGTGCAACTCAACCCTTTGTGCATAACCTGGCAGGAATATGGGTGACTGTGTGTCACAGCATTTTGTATGTGCACCTTTGGGGGTCCAGCAGGGCATCACACCTGGTTGTGTGAAGTTGTGTGAAATGAATCCGGAGCTGCTGATGTGTGGGGATGGAAAGAAAGTCATCAGAAGAGAGGGGAAGTATGTGTGAAGAGAGAGTGGTTTTTAGCCTAGAGAAGAGGAGGCTCAGAGGTGATCTGATCACTCCCTACAACTACCTGAAACAAGGTTTTAGCAAGGTGGGGAGCAGGGTCTTCTCCCAGGTAACAAGTGACAGGATGAGAGGACAAAACCTTGATCTGAGCCAGAGGAGGTTCAAGCTGAACATTATGGGGAATTTCTTCACAGAAGTGGCTGTCAGGCTGTCAGAAAGGACTGCCTAGGGAGGTGGTAGAGCTATCACCCCAGGAGGTGTTTAAGAAAAGACTGGGTGTGGCATTTAGTGCCATGGTCTAGTCAACAAGGTGGTGTCCAGTCAAAAGTTAGACTTGATGATCTCAGAGGTCTTTTCCAACCTAAATGGTTCTGTGAAAGCCTTCCAATGTCTGATAAGCTCGGGAGATGGACTGCCTGGTTGAACCTGCAAAAATGGGTAAAGCACCAAGTCTGCTCAATTTGTCCAAAGTCACCAGTACATAGTGACATTAACAATGGGTTGTATCGATAAGACACATCCCAGAAGGTGCTGGGTGCTGTGTTCAAACACAGAGACAATATCATACATACACCTTTGACTCTCTTCCACACTGACCTAGAAGCTGATAGTGTCACTGTGGCTCTCCATGTGGGCATGCAAGTATGTGCATGAGTGAACTATTTGGGGGAGTACATGAAGAGAGATAGTTATCTGTAATTAATAATATAGACTGGATTCTGTTAATAATACCAGTCTAATAAATAGTAAGGTTTCATAAATATTAGTTATGATCTGTGTCTCCCCCATCTTGATCCCTTACCAGGGAACAGGGAATTTGTAATACTTCAACAGGTTTTTCTGCATGGAAAAGACAAAGGATGAACCACTCAGTGCAAGATCTGCTATATGTTTGCAGAGAAGGACCCTCTCACTGAGGAACTTCATTTCCTGGCCACACCCACCCATTACCCTCTACCAACAAAGTTTTATGAGCCTTCAGTTCACGTTAAATTTAAAAGGGTTGTATTCTTTTGTGTTTTTACAGTGCAAAGAATTATGATTTAGGTTTCGGTTGGTTTGGGTTTTTTCTCTTTTAAATCTTAACCTGAATCAGAAAGAAGGCTGGATCATCACTAAACATAATGCATTATGATTAACTTCATGAAGCAATTTCTCTTGTGCAGTTTTGCTAGTCCAGGCATTCTAGCTCTTAGTTTAATTGAATTTCTTGATAAATCTGTCATGACATGCTTTCTATACATGATCTTTCTATAAAAAAATTATTTCTACAGAATAAAATTCACTCCATGAATAGAATTAGAACAAGGCTTGTACCTTGTTTAAGCATGTATTCAATGAGTTTCTAACAAGTAGTAGTAATGACTTAGATTGGCCCTCTGTTCATTTATGACTTTCCCATTAACATTTGCAAAATAGGCAATGAGAAAAAACATATGTTGAAATCACACATTTCAGCAAATGTTTTCATTAAATATTACCAACTACTTTCATTGCTGAAATGGAATATTCTTATTTAATCAACGACTCCAGTAAATAAATGCACTTTTGCCTGCAGTGTCTTTTGCATTAGAATTTCAGTTTCTACACTTGTCCCCAAGGCCAAGAAAGAGCATGACTTCATGTTGCCGATGTGCTGTGTTTCATCAGGTTGTGTCTCAGTATATACATGTCACTTTAGATCTAAGCAGATGTGACAGAAGGTAACAGACTATTCTGTGGCGCTGCAATGTCAGCCCGTGCACCAGAGCGATTAGAAAATGCAGTGCTGTGAGCACAGTGACTGGGAAGCAGAAAACAAACGCGGTAACATCTAATTTTCTGACAGAAAGTCAAATAAATGGAACGCACATGCTCTTTCACTGAAGAAAACCCCCATGTTACTACCATGGGAATAATAACGGTTTGCTCTTCTTTTTGTTTTGACAGTAAGCAATTATCACCTTCAACGGGACTGAGGCAGGCAGTGAGTACACCATGGAAAGGAAACAGTGAGTAGGTCCTACTGGGTTTAACACATTTTATTACTGCATGTAGTTTTATGGATTTCAAAAGTAGGATCAATTTTCCCTCCCTGAATTCTGATTACGATAATTTTTTTATTTATTCACTTTCAAATGAGAATGCTATTGGCTTCCTTTGTCATATTTCTTGATAATATGACTACTTTGGCCACTACAGTGCTATGTTTCATGTCTCTTTGACCACAATACAAGATGTTTCATTTACTTAAAGCTTTCTTGATGTTATCAGACTGGGAAAATTTACTTCACTAGCCCTAAAAGCAATTCCAGGAATAAGACTTGATCCTGCACTCAATTATCTGCCCCCATTCTATCAAACATCTGTAGAGAAGTTAAAAAATGTAAGGACACCCAGGCCCTAGGTCATCCAGGAAAGATTATCTGAGGATTGACTTTTTTCACACTGATATAACAAAAATTCCTGTCAGCAAATCTCTTGGCTGTGTGAAAGCCAGGCTCACCTTTCTGATTGCCAAACTGTTTTAGAAACTCAATTATCAGTCATTTTAATTTCACTATATTTCAAAAAAAATGCAGAGGAGGGCTCACATCTCAGAAGAGGATGCAATACCGGTGTGGTCATGCAGAACAGCTTTGTCCTTAAAAGTTATTAGAGTCAGTCAGTGGGAGAAGGGAAATAAAATTAGGTCATCTTAATTCAAAGTCTTATTTTATTTTCATTGTCATTTGGCTTTTGGTAATCATCATCCTTTTCCAACCATCATACTTGAATCATTTCTCTCACTTGATAGTTACATTTTTTGTAAACATGGAAAAATTTACCTTTGGAAGTTTTTGACTAGTCAACTTCTAAATTTCTCAAATAGACTTTTTAATTGTCCTTTTGACATTGAGAAATTTGGAGAAATACAAAAAAATATAGAAAGAGAAAATACACAATTACCATACCTTTTATGTTACCAAATGAAGGACTAAATGTTAAAATTATTATGAAAGAAGAGACACCAAGTTAGAATTTGGTGACTGTAGCCACTTCAGCACGGTCAATATCCATGAAAATTTCTGAGAAACTTTTAGCACAGCCTAAAACTAAAAGGGAATATTCTCTTTTGGTAGGAGCAGTTCAGCTAGGAATGCCCACTTGCATCTGTGAGCACACTAATACATGTGACAGCACAAGAGGCAGGGAGAGAGAGCGTAAGTGCCTCGGTAAGTGGAAGTACAGTGAATAACCTTAAGGATTAAAGTGCATCAGATCCTTATGGCAAATGACACCAACCTGCCATCAGTTACGGGAAAAAGACCTCTGTTCCTTTCATGAAGTAACTCTGCCACTGAGGTTTCAAGGACAAAATGAAGAGGGTTTGTTACCTGTGGGAAAAGGGGGGTATTCAATTCAGTTTTTTATATACTGGCCTGAAGAAAATCCAGGCTGCAGGGATTTTTGACCTGCAAACATCTGGCTGCTGTTTTAGTGTATGATAAATTCCAACACTCCAATCTCTCTTTGGGGTACATATTAATAGGTGATAGACCTGAAATAAAAGCTCACGTTAAACGAAAAGGTTCACAAGTTTGTTGGTTTAGTGTAGCTTTGGGAGGAGAGATGGGGGGAAAGAAAAGCAGAGAGGATAATCTAAACAGTAAGAACAAATTGATAGCTAGTACAAGGAAAAGTAATGTGAGAGAATTCAAAGAGGGAAAAAAAGGCTGAAATTAAACAATTCTTGATGTTTCCTTCCTCAATAGAGGAAACTGTGTGGTTATTCATAAATATTACCAAGGAAGCAGTGAATTCAATAAGATTATTTCTTCTCAGTAGAAGGAATTTGTGACATGCTTTGCTCCATCTTCTTCAATCATAAACCCCTTTCTGGACATAAAGAGCAAAACTTGTAACACCCATATTCCAGACTGATGTATATGCCAGACACCAAGAGAAATCTTGAGTCTAGAGTTCTAGATTTGCAGGCAGTCCCAGTTTAGGCAGGCTGATGCAGAGCCAGGCTCAGCACGCGGCAGGACAGAGCAATAATTCTCAGTGACTATGAGAAAGCTGAACATTTGTGTCACAGACTCAATTTCTTGTTGGTGTGGGTTTTGTGCAGCAGAGTACAGTGCTGTCAGAAGAAAAGCAGCCCTACATTTCTCAGCGCTGCTGGCAAGTTGGATGGGAGAGGCCTCAAATATGTGTGTCTTGCTGAATGCTCAGTCCATGCCTAAGGTGCTGCTGAAGAGGAGTAGGAGGATGGTTGGGGAAATTCTGGTTAACTTCTAGTTTGATGGCAGAAGGCTCCTGGGGAGAGTTGCTTTCTCTCTTTGGCTTCCGATAAAGAAAGCTTGGTTCAGGATGCATTCCTGGTGAGGTCAGCAAGGACTAGGGAGAAAGGCCCGTGTTGAAAGACACTTCTTTGCCACTTTCGGAGAAAAGATACCTGAACTGCAACACCACTGAACCTCTTAAATTTAATGCAGCTATTGCAATGTAGTTATTATAGGTACAAGGAACTATTGGTGTTTATCCAAAAGGGCAGAAGAAATGTAATGCAAAGACTATGTGAATAGTAGATTATAAGTTTATAGCATATTCCATTGAAACACTTCTTAGCAAATAACATTTTGAATACCATTTTAAAAAAAAAAGAATGCTTTTCTTAATTTTTAATTTTTTTAAAAACATTCTCTCTGAGTGTGCAGCAGACAGTGGTACATCAGGGAAATGTGAAGTTTAAGCCAAAATATTGCCCATTTAGTATTTGGAGATTCACCTTTTTGGTGTTTGCTGTGTGATCTCCCTCCTCCTCCTATTTCATTCAGACAAGCATCTTAATCACTTCTTGGGTACATATGGTATGTTTGTTCCTATGATGATAAATGACCACAGAAACTTGATATGGAGCCCCAGAATCTCTCAGAGAACTACCCTACCTGTTCCATTTAGTCATAAAAACTAAAAAAAAAAAAAAAAAAATAAACCACACAAAAAAAAAAAAAAAACACCCACCAGGATCAGGCTTTTAGCTGTGTTAGTTTTCAATTACAGTGCACTGCAACTCACGTCTCCTCTAGGAGAAGTCTTATGTGGTTCTAAACATTACAATGGCTCTGGGATTTATTTTTTTTTTAGCATATACTTCCATCCATGGGAGGTTGTTTTTTCAGCAGCTCTACAATGGCTTGGTTTCATTTTTGAAAAAGAAATTTTCCAGGCCTCAAGACAAAAAAGTTCAAAGCTGAGTTTTTGATCATTTAAACATCAATACCACTGGCTACACAGAAACTGTTCAGAATCCTTTCACAGGGTTGGCAGGAAACAAAGAAAAATATTTTTCACAGTATTGCCATCCATTAAGCCTCTTCCCTGCCAAAGAAAAGCTCATGCTTTTGGGCTTGTCCTTTCCCAAGCAGATTTGGTCACTGTCAGCCTCAAAAAGAAACCAAGAATGTCTTCCATGCATTGAACTCAGTTATGTGGCTACCATGTTATAGCTGATATTCTTAATGTAAAAATAGAGGTTATGAAGCTTCACGGGGGAGAAATACCTAGATGTAAGGTCCACTAGTCTTACTTGCTTGTTCCAGCCCTTAAACTCAGTAAACTATTCGTTTGCCCAAGACTAAGTTATTAACTGACTCTGTTTAATGCCTTGGTGAGTAACAATCAGGTCTGTGTATGCATAAGGCCAATCCCAATCAGCACTTTTCCAGGAACTTCTTCTTTAAGTGCACCATCTCTGTATTTAATGAAAATAAATCCAAGAGCTTCAGCAAGAATGATGGGTAATAGTTCTAAAGAGATCATTTTCCTTGTTCCTTCATTTCACTTGGCAAAGACGGAGAAACCAGAACAGGAACATTCCATCCTGCATTTCTTTCTCTCATGTAAGTGCTTCCAATTCATTTCTAAAATGAGGAGGTACAAAATGGAACAAGTTCTGCGAATTTCTTATCTAATGTTTCATGCTTGTCCACAGAATGTCACTGTACATCCATCCTTGTTTCCTCCATTAATTTAATAATGTCCATGACACCTCCAGGGCACCAGGTAGCAGAAGCCTAATGAAAGCTCCTCTGAACAATTTAACTCACTTATTTTCTCCTAGCACATCCAAACAGCCTTAGAGCCCAACTGGAGCTCATGCTACTCTTTAAACTTAATAAGCAACTAGTCACTGGTATTTTTTATGTGTGTAAATATATATATATATACATGTAGATATATATATATATGCATATATATTCACTATCTCGTATACATGTATGTATATATATTTTATACAAATACCACCATTTCTTAAAAAAAAATATTAACACATTGATTGCCTAAGTGTCACTGTAGTACCAGGAGCATTAGATTTAATTAGGTGGCAAAAATAGAAACTGGAATCTGGTTAATAGCTTCCAAAGCTGATCTTAATTGGCTTATTAGTTGGAGATCAAGAAAAAAAAATAAATTTCAGACATCAGTATAAGCAAACGCTGAATAAATTGTTCAGAATAACTTTGAGAATCAAATAATTAGAGAAATAATATGTAAAGTCAATAAAGTGTGACCATCAACAAATGACAAATGTATGAACAATGGAACAGTATTATTCTTCCACTTAGCTGCAGAGAGTTCCTGTGTATTCATCAGATTAATTGTTTATTCCAGTTATTACATTCATTCAAATGTATGAGAAAACAAACCATTGATTTACTGCTGTCAAGGAGTACTTAGTGCAGCAGTTTAAACAAAGCATGGCTGTCTCCATATATAATTCATGTTTATTATAAATGTAAAGGAGATGGAAAATGCTACAAGAATATGTGTAGGCTCAGCTATCTAAATTTCTGTTGTTTTCTGAATGTAATAAATGCAATGTTTACCTGTAGAAATAATCAAACAGAAATTTCCTGCCCTGAATAGGTAATTTCTAGAAGGAAAATCAGTGTTATTAAAAGCATTCCCCAAACACTGATTGCTTCATTCTAAACTAAAACACATCATTTGGTATTTAAAATCTATCTGGATTTGCTGCTTTGTTCTTAATATGCTTGACACCTATACATCACAAATCTTCAAATGGATCTAAAACGTGTACTGGATTATTTTTTGCTGGGATAGCACTGGTTTAGAGAATGCACAATGATTCAGTCTTCCTTCCTCTCTTAGAACCCCACTCTTCCCTTATTGAGCTGGTTGAAATTCAAAGAGTGTTCAGATATAAAATGGGTATTCAGACCCTGCCACTCTCACAGACCTGGCTGGAAGGCTGAGCTATATTTTGGTTTTAGGCTGGTAATATATCAGTGGTTATGTCAAGTCTTCTCTAGCATTTTGATCTTGTGGTTCGCTCCATTTCATTAGCTGGTGTTTTTTCCTTTCCCAGCTGTGAGTACCATGTTATAACAATGAACTCTCTCTCTTTCCAGCACTCCGTAATGTCTTCACTGGACAGCCCACACTTCTTCCTTATCCTAACAAAAAGCAGAAAATCACCTGGGCTTTGTTCTCCAATTACATATTCACCACGTAACTCTGACATAGGAAAAGTGAAGTTCTAGGTAGATATTTCTAATTAGAATACTATTCAAGTTACTAACTTGAAATCAGAATCCGACTGTGCAGTATTCTATTATGAAATTTATCCAAAGAAAGTGACACAGGGCAATGCAGAGCACCTTTTTTCAGTGACTTCAGGAAAATAATAGGCTCAGAACACCAAGTTACTCAGACATAGCATATCAGGGTGAAAGAGAGTGTGGGTAAGTCCCTTGAAGGCATAATAATGATAGTGCTTGTTAAGGTCACCATTTTCATTTCAAACTGCAGCAACAGCTATTTAAAAAATAAATTTACAACCAAGAAGAATTTGTAAATAGCACAGTGCTGCAGTGTATTTACAGATGTTGTCACATCCTGTGCGTATAAAGAAAACAAACTCCCAAAGTAAATAATTTCCACTGCCTAAAACACTAAACCCCATTTAGACCGCAGAGAATAACCAGCCAGAAACCTGAAACATTTTGGATAATGAAAGTGGTCATCATCCACCCACCAGTGTAGCTAGACTGTGTGCTTTTAGAGAAAGAGTTGCTGTGTTAATTCTTGTCTGTTTCTTTGCCTGCAAGGTCTCGAAAAAATAATAAATTTGATCTTGAAATAAATAAGGTTTGAACTTCTCTTATGCTTTATTCTAATTTT